GCGGTCGGTCCAGGTCATCCGGTGTGGACGCTAATTGCGGTTCATGTTGGTCTATGTCTTTCAGCTGCAGTCTCTTCCACCTTTCCTTGAAAATAAAACTGTTACCAGTTTTCAAATCAGTTTGTGTATACAGGAACGACCGTGTTGTGTCTTTGCTAAGCCAATATGTTGCTTGCGCGTTTCGGCCAATGATCTAATAATCAGTTTGGTTCCTACAACAACCACATTTTATGCCATGAATAATGTTCTTTCGTCCACTAGTATGCACATTTCGAAGGCAGATTTTCCGCTTCGTACGTTTGCATGACATTACGTGTAATAAAAATATTTTACGGAACCTTGGACAAGTTTCCTGCCTGAAAAGTACTTTTCGCTCTAGGTCAGGCGAAGTGCCTCTGGCTAGCAGTGAGAAAATGCCAACTTTATTTTAAATAATTATTTTTATGCTGATGATTCGTAAATCTTGCGAATCCTGGGATTCTCAATTGCGCCAGGTTTTATTTTCACGTTATTTCTAAAGATACTAATTAGTCGTCTCTTTAAACAGGACTTTCCATGATAGAATATTTGGATTTCACAGAAGATCGTTGAACCGAAGTAGATATTTGAACTTGTTGATCACTCAAGCGAAGTTAGATAAATTTTCGGTCGACAAAACAACTAGAAATCAAAGCCAAATATCGATCCAAGCGTTGCTAAATTTACGGCGCAAGGTGCGGCGTTGTAGCTCAAGTGGTAGAGCTTTGGCTGCCTAAAGACCTTCCCTGCTACACGGATTCGACTTCCGCTGACGCCGCGATTTGTCTTCACAATTAGGTCAACTAACTTAAGCAAATCTACCAAAACCGTCTGAATAAAGTGAAATATATAACTGGTTGCAAGCCTCAGGATCGCTCTGATTTTCACACCTTAAAGTAGTTTAATTCTGACGTTCGTTTCATTCTCATTTAAGTCGTGCTCATTCACTCTTATTTTATTATACAGTTGCACCAAATCTTATTCAAATAGTAGTTGTATTAATCGCGAAATAAGTCTGCCTTCATTTTCAACTAGCTGCTTCTCTCCGATATCCCAACCTACCTAAATATGTGCTTACATTTACATGCCCATGCCCCCATCACACTTATCAGGTGATCACTTACGGCTTCGTATTCCACAAAGGCGCCTTCTGCCGCAGCGCGAATAATCTGCTCGATTTAATGGTTGTCTTGACTTCCATTATCTCTTATCCCATTGCGTGAGTTTACGAATCTCCGATGTATATGCACGCGGAAACGCCACAGCATATCATCTACGAAAATCGGTTGCCTGAGCTAGTGCCTCATCGGTGCACGCATGTTCCCATGCCACGCCACTGATGCCTGACGGTACTGGAGCTGCGCCGTGCCTGAAGCTCCTTGTCCACGTTGTAGTTATCGTTGTTCGTTTTTGTTGTTTCTGTTTTTGCTTTGTAGTAACTGCCGATGTTTATTTATTTTCACTTCTTCTGTGCTCATTCACCGGTGTCATTTTAGATGATCGCCTACGGCCTTTTCCTGCATAAGGGGGCCTTTTGTCGTTCGGCATCCAACTTGCTAGACCTCATTATTGTCGTCGTCTCATGGTTGTCTTTTTTCTTGTGAGTTTGAATAACTACTACTTGTGTCGTTGTTTATTTTTTGTTCACGGTGAAAAGCTAGGGTAGAGAGAGAGCTTAAAAACTACTAGCTAGTATTCAGCTTAATGTATCCTTTAAGATATGATCATTTGATACAATTTCCCTAATGATTACTTTTTAACCTTGAAGTGAGCGATCTTTATAGAAGCGTTTTTATAACTGCTGTATCTTATTCCTTCAGGAAACTTAAACATAGTGCCTACTTCTGAGATATTTGGCTAAGGATAGGTTAGGAAATAATATGACTGTTCCTAACATGTATCTGTTTCACTCGCCCATCACTATGAAAGATAATTAAGATATTTATAAACCACAGTAAGGAGTACTTTAATGAGGAAAACACTATTAACTCAAGTAAGCGGTAGACTTCCGGGAAACAGTTGAGAAGGGGAAGGTTCTTTTTAGGGGACAATAACTTTTGTCTCTCGTCGACCGTGAGCTACTTAAGCATGGTTCTTAGTGCAAGAACAAGCGCATTGAGCTCCGGCTTCTATATTTAACCCTCAAACCTTAGTTGGACCGAATTATTGGCCACCTAAGGTGCTTTTGAATGCACAATGCTCCACCTTACTATTGCTTAACAGGGTTTTAAGTAATTAACAAGTCACAAGCAAGCACTTGTGATAAAACTGTGACAATTGTATCCTTATGCGGGCACAAAGTGTGACCTGCAACCAACGCATGAACTACTGTTTTTGATAAGCATGTTGTCGTATAGTAACCGCACTTTATAAAACCGTAATTCGTGTGTTTTTACTGCCTATATCTGCTTCTCTGCTTGATGATGGGTTTGAGCATGAACACGAACCAAAAACTTCTTGTTCCAGCCATCGGCTATCGTGTATTTTGCCATAAATTTAAAATATTTCAAATCTGACAGTTACTGATGAATGAAAATTGACTAATTATTCTCTGATATTATATGCAGGTATGCAACACCCAAACTCATTTTCATCGTACTAAGCAACTTCGGGAACTCAGACTGACTTCATTTAGGCAACTTTTTGTCACATAATCGTAATCTACTCAAAGGGGTGCATATTTTTTCGTAGTTCGACTAATTGACTATGCGTCCGCCCATGAATCCTTGAGCTACGCGTAACACTGATTTTGTCGGCATGTTAAAACGCCAAGCATAAATGTTGACGTTTCAGCTCCTCCGGCACGCGTTCGATACATTTAGAAGGCCAAAGGCAGCTGGCTGGACGGAATGCGAGCTATTCTCCTACCCTGGGGCTCCAGTCCAGAGTCCCCTGACTGCTTTATGGTAATCGA